GACCTTTTATTGAGCAGGTATTTGCACAACTTCCTATCTTTTTAGACGTCCCCTATTGACGTCATGCCGCATGGTTCTCATGGCCGCCGCTCGCGGCGTTTAACCGTTTGGTGGTGCAGGTAGAGACACATTTGATTTTTATTCATTTTATAGAAAAATGTAGAAAAATGTAAATGTCCTTTGTGACAAGATAAACATTGTAAAAAGTAGTAGATGCCAATTATTTCAACGTTAAAATTGTTGCGCAGCTCCTTTAAGCTGTTTTATATGTACCAAGTACTAAATGGAATTTCGCTACTTGTTCTTACATATCTATTTTCTAAAAGAAAAAAAAACTAGTTTCGTGCTCACACCTGCAGTGATTGTTTTTGTTATGACGTATATTTATAGATTCCTCTAACTATAACTTGCTGCAGTTCGCACTGACATGCCACTAGGGTATCATAAATACAGTAATCAGTTTGCATAAATTAGCACTGCACGGAGAACAGCTCTCTCTGGTTCTCACCAGACACCTTTGTTTTGCCACCTTTTTTAATGTTTACATTAAAAGTTAAGCCCCAAAGGAGGCGTGGAAGCACGCAATGGACCCGAAGATTGGGGCAAGTGTGGCGCTAAAGAACCTTGCCTTGTTCGTATGAACATCGGACGTCCTACCCACAAGGACTGTCACAAGAGTTGTGTCGAACGCAAACAAGGGGAAGGGAGCCAGGCCACCACTCACACTTCAGAAGGTGGCATTCTTAAGAGGTGAGGGCAAGTCGCCTGACACACTTTTATTCGGAACAGTAATCCTGTATTTTTTTTCTAATTAATGCCTTGTCTGAGCAGTTAGATTGTATTGCAGTGACGTGATTGATTTGTATAAATTACAGAAGCTCTTTCCTGCATGTCACAGTGGTGAATAATTCAGTACCATAGCTTAACGTGTACGTACCGTCTTGTGCTAGTGACTCGTATAATTTTTAACGTTGTTAATGAGTCTGAGTTACTCTTTCCAAAGCTCAGCATCAACATTGGCTTTTTTTTGTTTTATGGCTTGCTCTGGAATAGATCATAATATAATCTACAGTGAAACCTGTTTAGAACGATCCCACCTACAGCGAATTATTGTCGATATCGAACTCACAGTAAATATAAATGCATGTAAAAAGTTATTTTTATAACGAACAACGTATTGGCTATATCGAACTTTTTCCCCCGGGAAAGTTTTCGAAAACGCGCAAACAATCGTCTTCTAACCTGCCCCCCCCCCCCCCCCCCACAAAAAAAAAAAAAAAAGAAAGAAAATTTTAAGAGCTCAAGTTGCGAACATAATTGATCGAAGAGAAGCGATTCAGAAGGGGATAAAGCTAAAAAAATACACTCCCTACGCACGCACAGAAAAAAGAAGCTTTTCATCCCAAAACGGTTTCCCACGAAGCGAAGCAATTCAGGAGAAATAAGCTAAAAAAATTTCAAAAAACCTGCAGGCCCGCGAAAAAAAACAAAAAAACCTTTACAGCGCGTTGTTACAAGGCGGAAGCGAAGAGGTGACAAAGAAGCTCTCGCCTTACAACGAACGCATCTTGGAAGTTCGTTGTAAATGTGCTCTGCTATATCGAATTACTAGCTATATCGAACTGATTGTAGCCATGGATGAAGAAAGAATAAAACAATATAAAACAGGAACAAAACCACATCATTTTTATTCTTTCTTCATCCATGACTTAAACCAACACGCTCTTCTCCCAAGCTGATTGTAGCCTTTCCTGCTGTTCGTTATAAACGGGTTTGATATATGAAAAAACGTCCAGCGTCTTCCCGTGCATTTCGGCCGCTTGGGGACGGGACGGCAGGGCACAGAAGCCGACTTTAGTGTTCCCGGTGAGCTAAAATTGCGGGTGGTAGCTTCATAAACAGAAAAAGCCGGTGATATATATCACTTGCAACGTCATTGTCTCACACACTTCTGCTTAATTATTGCGAAAACCACCGGCAAAAGGCATATTGTATTAAAAAAAAACGAAGCTGACAAGTAGTTATACAAATGCAGTGCTCGTTATGGCAAAACGAACACGTCTCACCTTGCATCTGCTTTCTTTCTCTGCCTTTCGTTTGCCCTCTTTGACATCCTAGCTGCCACTCTGGACCACCAATGCCGGTGCTCGCGATTTGCCGCTCTCCATAGAGCAGCTTCTATTTGCGATATACAATCATATCAGCAATAGGCCTGCCTGGTCGTGGCACATACAATGCCACGACCAGGTCAATAGTTGTGGTTAAAGTAACCCCAAGACGAGGGGAAAAACAGACTAAAAAAAGTATGTTTATACAACCTAGAATTTAGTCTGCCTCAACAGGTAACTTGTCTTCCAGCTGTAGATGAGAAATTTAGCCAGTGCGGCACAACTGCTACTCTGGAGTCTTTAACGTGCACGACGCAGTAGTGATACACGACCGCATGGCGGTACGATACTCATCCGGATCGAAACGGGCAGGGGTGGGGATTAAACCCAGGATTTGTGGGTTCTGCAGCGCCAGCTTTCGGCTCACATGCTCCGAGATGGTGTGCGCTAGCCCACTCGGCCACCGATCACAAAACACAGCTGCAGCTGTGTTTCAAGACTTCGCTGTAGTTGTATCCTTTTTCTGTTTCCCCTTGTCTCGCGGTAACTGTAACCGTGATCAATCACCAGCTCGCCTGCTCATTAATGCTAGTTTCAATAGTTGCGTTCTTTAGCTAATTACAAAAGCTTATAATCAGCAATGAATCCAAAATTGCTCCCGAGTTGCACACTTTATAGCAGCTAAAACGACCTTGGTCGTTTGGCCTGCTGTGACCAAGCGGGCTTTCGGGTAGAGATCAGGCTTAAACGAGCTGGACATAGAATGTTTAAGCCTTTCTCTTCCTTTGAATATCTCGCCATTACATGTTTTTCAGAGTGCCAAATCAAAAAACTTAATGGACAAGCGCTCCACCCAGAAGCGATAGCAGCTCAGGCCACCACCAGGGTCGACAAGACCTTAGGCGAGGAGATCAATGATCTTAGACAACGGAACAGGCGTCCACAAAAGGAATAAATAAAAACAAGACCGGCCGGTTTGTGGCAAAGGTTCAATCAGATATGGTAGTCAGGCATCCATTTCCCGCAAGCCCCACACAGATTGCCCACAGATCGTAGGATTATGAAACCGTGTGCGTCACCTACATGGTCTCCATGGTTCTGTGGGTCTCCGGGTCCATCAGGCTATGCGGAGACCTATAGGGACCCACACAGACCATGCGGGGACCCCATAGGATCCCACACCCACACAAACTACGTAGGGACCCATAGGGACCCACAGACCTGCAGGCACTACGCGGGGACCCATACACTCACAAAATTCCTGTGCGATGCACAGGTTTCACAATCCTACAGGTCTGCGGGTTTTTGAAGCGGGGTTTGCATCGACACTCGGGCGGCCAGCTCACAACACTCTCCGTCATGAGACTCCCGGTGTGTCTGCTTTCGCATCGAAACCCGGGCGCCCAGCTCACGCCGTTCGCGGTCTTGAGACTCCCGGCGTGTCTGCTTTTGTACCGACACCCGGGCGGCCAGCTCATAACATTCTCGGTCATGAGACTCTTGGCGCATTTGCCTTTGCACTGATCCCCGGGCGGCCAGCTTAGACTGTTCTCAGTCGTAAGCTACCCGAAGCAACTGCATTTGAGTTGGTCCATAATGCGATTCCCTTCAACCCAAACGTCGGCATTCCAGATTCTGGCCCGACCGCAATTGCGTCAGAGTCGGCTTGAGGTTCTCAACACCAAGGATGGTCGCTCGGGATGGCCGGGCGCCCGTGAACTCGCAACGGCCGACGGGGTTGGAATAGCCTCTCTAGCCAGGAGACCGACAGTGCTCATCCCAGCTATAAGTAGAATCAAAACTACACCCAAGTCTCTTGAGCCTCGCATGACCGTGAATATATATCGACAACTTTATTGTCATGTAGCATTTCTACTTTCTAGCACTGGTGACATAAGCAAGCTTAACAGGCTTGCAGAGACGGTGCGACCGGAATTCGCTTGGGATGCAAGCGGCAGTTAATGTTTGTAAACAGCAAAAGCGTCTATACCAAATCTTTAACGAAAGAAAAGTAAATGCACTGTACTAAAACTTTTTCATCTATGAAAAACTTCTTACACTGCCGTTGCCACGGCAGCTTATGCAACCACAATCTTTACCGAGAAACGCATGCGCGGAGCGAGACGAGCTTCGCATTCTTAGCAGAGCTAGTGACGTCACTCCACACTTCGTATTCTGCCGTTGCCGCGGCAGCTTATGCAACCGCAATTTTCACCGAAAACCGCATGCGCTATGTGCTTATCATGTATCACGTAATTTTGAAACGTATTGTGGTTTTCTTATCGAAACAAGTGTCAAAACCACATGACAAGAGATAAGGCGCGCGCAAATGGTGATAAGCAGCGCGCGATGGTTTTCTGTCGACTACTGTTCTGTCGACGGACACGAAAAAAACCCGACCGACGAGTCATATACAGCTGTGCTGTAAAAATAGACTTTGTTTCCTTCTTTATTATTTCATATACTGTTTTTAACTCCCAATCATTATAAAAATGTTTCCAGGATGCAGAAAGTGTCCAAGTCGCCTGGATCGTGCAGATGGAAACAAACAACCAATTTCATGCGCCACGATTAAAATCCATGAAACCGCGAGGTCTCCTGTGATTTTCCGAAAAGTCTATTACTTTTAGCGTGAAGTAATCTTATAGTATACTTTTCACCAGGGAGAAATACCCACCGCAAAATTACTTCTTTTAAAGGCACAACATTTATAGGTCTAGTTTTAGCGCTTTCATATCATCATTTATTCAGACAACAAACACAAACAAATGTAGTTATCTGGGCGGGGCTGTAGCAAAAGGCAATGAAAATGCCTAACTAGGCGGAAGCCCCCTCCCCTGCCCTCGCACATTACTATGCCATGCACAAAAAAAAATCTATAGATATGGCACATTACACGAAAAAATTTTTTTATTGCTTTTTGGGGATCCGTTGTATAAAAAAGTAATGTTCTATGAATACAATGTAGTAATCTGTAGCCATAAAAAATGAAAATTGTTTAATGATGGTACGTTATTGGCTCTCCTCACACACAAGCAGCCTCGTAAAACAACACACTTACGATATAAAAAAATAAACCTGCAAAAAACTGATTATTAATCCGGTCGGTGCTGCCTGTAACGGTGTGACAGATTGTGCTTTCGGGCGGACGTAAGCAAAGACTTCGAAATAAGCCAAAAAGTCAATTCGCGTTTTTATTTTCTTTTCCTTTCTAGGAATCTGCACCACTTAAGCGCCCGTATAGTGCATAAACATAACGCAATTCATAGCTGGAGAGGTGTTTTTCCTCTCCAGCGCCTTCGCTCAAAAATGGCATCATGCAGCCAGGAAAGGGATGCTGGCAGAAAGAGAGGGAAGCGCGCCAGCCGATCACAGCGTCGGGTGTGTGCACTTTGTATTGTCATTGACCGGCGCAGAGGCGCATTTATAGGTAAAGTTTGGGCAGGAGATCGATTTCGTTCATCGAGTGATGGCTATTCCCCAAAAACTTAACATTTCTTCCTCAGAAAGCTGGTATTGTCGTTTCTTTTTTTTTCATAAAAAATATGTTTTTTTTAAAGCTCAGAGGGCGATGCCTCCTCTCCCTCCCCCTCCCCCTCCCCCTCCCTCCCCTGGCCTCCCTTGAATCTGGCCCTCGACCGGCGCCTTGGCTCAAAAGTGGTACCGCGCAACCCCTGACAGATGCTAGGAGAGAGCAGAAAGTGTTACTTTTCCATTTTCAAGGGCTCTACAAAAAAGCACCTGTAAAGGGTGCTTTTTGTAGGTACCACTAAAATCACCGAAGGCTGCACGCACGCTAGATTTTGTTGTCGGTCATGTTGGAATAAAGTTCCTTGCTTAAAAGCTCAATTCGCAATACTTCGCTCTTTTGTTGCTGAACCACGAAATCGTGTTCCGCCTGTAAGAGCCGAAGCAATCTTTCCCTCAGGTCTTTGTCGCACAGATCCCCAGTTTCCAGGTTCATATTCAAGATGATTTGCGTGCGGCCCAAACCTTGCATACTTAATGCAATTCCCGCCGAATCATCGGCGGCATTCCAACCGTTCCTCATGCTCTCGTACGAAGCGATTCGGAGTGGAGGATCGAGGGATCCCTTGCCGCCTGCCTTCACGTCCCGAGAATTCACGTCGTCTGCTTCCTGTTTGACGGCACCGGACTTCTCTTTGATGTCCCTGTTCATGGATTTGTGGGATTTTGGATTTTTAACAGTGATGCCGTGGTTAGCCCTCCCAGGTGGAGTAGGTGGCGGGAGAATCTTGCTTTCCTTGGCCTCATGGTCACCGGACGGCGAAGCAGAAGTCCCTGGTTCGTTCGAGCCCCTGAGATGCTGGGAGTGGACGGGACTGTGCTGAACCGCCGCGGCCCGACCATCGACCAGGTTGCCTGCGCCGCTCCCTTTGGCACTTTCTATCCTAGAAAAAAGAAAATCACGAAGACAATATAATGGCAGTATCAGGATTATACAAACGTTATTAGATGAACTTAGTTACGAAACTGTTAAAGGAGGCTGCTTACTCGAGCAGCACCCCCCTGTCCCTAACGGTCCGCCTCCTGTCATTCGACGCGCCACCGTTTCTTGGGGGGACTGCTGCTATGATAACTACATGTTACACAGACGCGGTGAGGGTGCAGGCGAGCTGGTGTTAGTTTACCATTATGTTAAAACACAAGAGACTGGGTGTGAAAAAAGCCTTGAAACAAATAAAGGTAGAAGACACAGGGAAAGAAGTCAGCCAGACGACGTTTCAAACTCAGCCTAATAGGTTTATTCAGTAAACCTCTCATTACATCCTTGAAACCGAGGTCGTCTCCAACCAACACAACACACAAAAAATTACAGGAGTGCACTTAAGACTGCTTACGTGTAGGAAGGCGAAAGGCATTATAGTGCCGCGGGAGAAATGTTTTCGAATAATGTTTCTACACGTATTAAGGTTTAGGATGACGTATAGGACGACGTCGAGGACGACGTCCTAGAGATCGACGTCAAGTATGGCGTCTAGGACGAGATCTAGAACGACATCAAGGACGACCTCTCGGACGACGACGAAAATGACGCCTAGAGGACGACGTCGAGGACAACGCCTAGAGGGGGACACTTAAGGGGGCTACTGTAAAACCCTCAATGTTCGCGAGCCCTTAATTTTCGCAAAATTCGCGAATTGCGAAAATTTGCGAATTTTAACGCCACTCGAAAATTTCGATCATTAATAGAAAGCAACTCACGAATTCGCGAAATTTAGTGGCTGCGATTTTGTCTGACCGATTCGTGAAAAATAAAGCCCGCGAAAATAAAGAATTTTACAGTATATTGCGTGGGCGGCCACAATTGCCTGAGCAAGCTGCCGTGGATGTAGACGCTGCTGCCGATGTCGAGGCCGTAGATGTAGACACGGTTGCCTCACAGTCCATCGCACGAAGCACACAAAGAGCACAGATGAAGTCCGAAGTGAACCTTTTGCACACGGCACTCCGGCATCACGCTGATGGCATATGATGACGCTCATTACATCACGCTGATGACGTATGATGACGCTAGATGACATCAAGCTGATGAAGCTTGATGACGTATGATGACGCTAGATGACATCAAGCTGATGAAGCTTGATGACGTATTTTTATGGCCATCTTTTGGGCACAACAACGCCGCCGTTAGTTTTTGACGTAATGTGACAAGTGAGCTCTTCCTAGAGGTCGAGGACGTCTTCTAGGACGCCCGCAATGACAATGTCAAGGTAATGAATGGGAGAAGTAGGGTCGCCCACTGAGCAACGCGTGCCGTTCAATCGTATTTTTATCGGCTTATACGACGCTTTTGCGCTCAATGGGACAAGTAATAGTGAATTCTGCAGGCAGATCTCGAGCGCTCCAAAAGCGCTCCATTTGGAGAGCGCAAATTCTGCTCGCAGATCTGGCTCGACTTGGCCATCTTCCGCTCGTAGATCTCTGGCAGCGCCCGCTCCGTGAAGCGCCTCCAACCCCGCCGAACTTGATCCGCGGGATTTCAGAAATCTTGGCGGAAGCTGACAAAGCGCGCTACGTCATTTGCTTTAAATCGGCAGTGGCTCATGCGCAACGAGGCAACACCTTCTAAAAATAAGGCCGCAGCGCTCCGAGTGGTTACGTCACAATGTCGGAGGAACGAAGGCCATGGCGCAACTACGTGAGAACATTTCTGCTATGGATGCATATCGGCGTGAAAAAAAATGTTTCCTCTCGAGCGGCGCGGTAATGTTCGTGCACGTTTATCTGACATTAATACACGTTTTAAAAGCGCAGTCTTGTACAATTTATTATATATATAATATAAACGTAATATACAACGCATTACCAAGGTTGAAAGTACGATGGAAATAGAAGACTCGGGGGCATAGCAGAAGTGAAAAGTCGATGGAAATAGAAGAAATATCAGTTTATGTTTTGACTGCACTCATCCCGACATCTCAGGTCCTTTCGTTTGCAATCCACTTGGCGACTACGCAGATAAGCAGCAGCACGGCACCGCTTGTCTGGTAGTTCCTTTTTCTTCGGAGTGAGCTCCTCGGCAGCCCACAATGTAAACAAGGCACGAAGCAGAAGCGCCAACACACAAACACCAGACCACTCTGGAGCAGAAACTAAAAAAATGCGCAGGCAGAAAAAAAGACTGCTGAACCCGATACACGATCACACTTCTTGTTCTGCTGGTCCCTCTGCATAAATAAAGTGTCGCAGGATTGCGTAAACCTGGTCGGTGGTCTTGGCTTGGCTTGTGTTGACTTCGCTTGGCTTGGCTCGAATTGGCCAGTGCCCGCATTCCCGCATGAGGCGCACGCGCTGAGTTTTTGCGGCGTGCGCGCGTTGTACGAACACAAAAGCGATAAAAATGCTTTTTTTATGTTTTCTATTCGCCCTTCACGGGGCCCGATAGCTAATAAATTCCCTTCCACACCCCCACTTCTCTTCCCACCGGACCTCTCTGCATTGAGCAGGAGGAACGGCTTTCTCCAGACTCGCGCGCCTCGTGACTGAACTCGATTCCGAATATAACGCGAGGTGCGTTTTGGAGCACGTAATTCCAGAAAAAAAAACTCGCGTTATATTCGTGCAAATACGGTACTACGGAATTTACGTGGTTTCCGAAACAAGTCCTGCTACGGTTTGAGTGACGTGTGGCAACTAGTCAACGATGACACTGGTCGATGACCTCTTTCTCGACAGAGAGAGACTTCTAAAAGTTTGTCTTCAAATGTTTTCGTGATGGATCGTGATTCGTGTGGGACGTATGGATACGATCGACAAGTGAGGAACAACTTATTTACGGGCTTTCTTGTTTATGTAAGACGCAAGTAAAGTGCTGCAGTCGATTTTTTTAAAATTTCGTGATAGAAGGGAATTTTGCTCTTCGTCGTTATCCGTTTGTTATTGCGTCGACATTTGTAAATATGCGTGGTAATATTCTAGTTTTTACTGGAAGGTAAATAACAAGTTTGTGTGAATATTGAAAGTGCGTTGTATGTGCTTACGTGTTTATTTATACTAATGTTATTTTGTCGCCTTTACCGCGTTTATACTAGAATCTTAACTGCATTAAGGTAATAGTAATATTGTATACAAAATAGGTTATATTTTGCTCTTAGGCAGCTCGAGCCAATAGGGAGAAGTAAATTAGTTGACTGTAAATAGTAAGTTTAGTACCCCTGCCACACGGAAAAGTTAATACATTTTGATTAAATAATACGGGATTTAATCAGATCGCTGTTTTCAGTGATTATACGAGCGTCACAAGCTGATTTGTCAACCTCATATTGTCATTCGATCGAAATTACATTAATTTTTGATTCAGTGACTGCACGCGATAACATCGCTTACATGATCGTAAGTGACACTTGTCGAGCCGTGTCCGCGTTGGCTACGTCTACCCGATTTTTAACTGATCTGTATTGCTGTGTTCACTCACTGGGTGTCTCGTCATTTTGTCGAAATATTTCTTTATAAAATACGCATTCCTACAGCAATAACTGCGCAACTCAATATTTTCTACTTAAACCAATCACATATTTCTATAGACGTCTTCTACGCATACCTCGTGCCATTTCGCATCGATTATTTAGCAGTGTAATGTTTCGCCCGTGTAATAAAGTGTTTCTTAGACCCGTTGCAGTGTGCAGCTTTCATTTTAGCTAATAAGACACACGTATGTGCCGAAAAGCGCGTTCCGACGGTCGATCCACGCGCGTTGCCTTCGCTTCGACGCGCGCCCCCGATGGCCTTCCTTTGCGACGTCACGAGAAGAGCGTTATGCCCTTATTTCTAGCAGGTGTTGGACGAGGTCGGTGGGCTGACCGGGCGCTGACCGGGCGCTGGCCGCGCCGTCGACGGCGTCGAGTCGATCAAGCTGAGTCTGCTAGAATGCGTCGGTTGTTTACGCAGGATTGTGACGGCTCGAACGCTTTTACCTCGCCTAGATAAGGAATGCAAAGTTGGGACTGGAGCGGTGGCAAATCGCAAGCGCTGGCATCTGTGATCGTGAGAGGAAGAGCGAGAAAAAGAATGGCAGAAAATCTGACGGAGGCAGACGCACGGTTAGGCCTGTTAATTTTTCCGCCAGATTCTTTACTTTTTTACAGTTCATGCCGCCGGCGTTTGCTCGTTCAATAAAGCAAGATCAGATTAGGCAACGACTGTGCAAGAATGATTTGTTACCTCTGTTTTTATTAAAGTCGTACCAGAAATCTGAAGTCCACTGATGGCAATCGCTGTGCGTGCCTCGCCACTTCGAGGCGGCCGAAAGGCATGTGACGGTGCCGAACACAGACGTCTTCTTCGTTACTTGTGACATGAGCGCCGTGGTGCGTATGCGATTTCGCCCGGCCGGTGTCGCGTGTTATTTTTGCAGCTAAGCAATGACAGTTGTCACTGGTCGTCGGAAAGGTCAGTCAGCTGAGGCGTTGGTCGGCTTGTCAAGTTTGAGCAGCTGCAATTTTGAACGGCCGAGGGAGACAGGGAGGGAGGGAGGGAGGGAGAGAGAGAGAGAGAGGGGGGGGGGGGCGCTCCAAAAATGCGAGTCTATCTTCCACTCGTCGATTCGGAGCGGGTCCCACGGAAGGGAATTTGGCCTTCTTGGCGGATCTCGGAAAGCGCTTCGGATCTACGATCAGAATTTAGCATATACAGCTTTCGCCTTAAAAAACTGTTCTCTTTCCTATCCTACAAACTTTGCAGCCATCAATGTACACACTTATTACACACCGTGACCTGACGTGTAAATGTGGTGTTCAATGGGGCTGTCAAGTTGGGCAACCCTACCTCATTTCAAAGAGAAAGGAAGGGGTGACAGAAAGCCCATAGAGGAAAATCTGTACCTTGTGAGGGAGGAGTCGTGTATGAGATACCTTTAGTGTGTGGGTTTAAAGGGGCTGTGCAACGATAT